GATGGAGGAGGGTGAGCAGGGACCAGGATGGAAGATCAGAGGCTTGGAGGGAAGTAGAACTATGGAAGGTTTAAGGAAAAGTCTAACCAACCAAGGAGATCAGAACAGAGAAATGATTAGCTTTCAGAGTTTCAGAGACTAGTTAGAGAAGCGCAGGAGACTAGAGGGTGGCTGAGTCATACTGCGAGGGGTTAATAGTGAGCTCCTGTCTGTGAATGGGCGTGGATCAGAATCACCTGCCCTCCTTCACCAACCTGCTCCAGAAAAGACCTCAATCAGGTGGCCACAAGAGGGAGCCAGACTCCAGGATCCTGACAAATATGGATGGATGGATGGATGGATGGATGATGGATGGATGGATGGATGGATGGATGGATGGATGGATGGATGATGGAGCCATAATCCAGCGCCATAGAACCAACAGCCATTATAGAAGGACAGACATCTGCATCTTTTAAGTCTCATAATATCAAAAGCTTTAATCATGGAGTTGAATCTACAGAATTCCTACATTAATACAAGTTTATAGATTTAAAACTAATTCTTTATCCGACTGTAGCACCAATCAGCTCCAGATCACATTTATCACAGAAACAAGCTTCCATTTCCATAATATGGACCCAAACCTGGAGTCCTGCTTCATGGCACCCCCACACAGAGGCATCCTGGGATTCCCCAATATCATCCAACCTTTTATACAGAATTTTTACTGATTTAATTTTAATAGAAAGGTCTCCTGCAGACCAAGCAGGGTCCCTGACCAACATGGCTGCCATAACAGCCATTGGTTATCAGTCAGATGGGCATCTATTACAGTTAGTCAAATGGTTACATGCTCTTTTTGTATGGAAGCGTTTTATGAAAGCCATTAGAGAGGCTCCTTTTCTACATCTATCAAAATGCAAAAGGCAATTCCAGGAAAAAGAACGAAAAGAGGAAGTCAGAGAAAGAAAACAGGATGTTTCACAATCCTTCATCACTTTTCTGACGGCGCAAAACAATCAGCAGCAAAGAGGCTAAGATCCCAGGATGGTACCTGTTCTCTGGAGCTTCATGGTTCTGCTGGCAGGTAAGATGATCAAGCTTTGCTTTGCAAACTGGACTAAAAGCTCAAACAGAAATAATGTAAAAAAAAAAAAAAAGCTTTAATAAGTTCTGCTGCAATCTGAGATTTTTAAAACTACATTTATTGTCCTTAATCTCCTGTTCCCTGGAATAGAATATTCTTTATTGCACCAGAGTCGGGATCAAAGTCAGTAAACAGAAAAGACCAAAGGAAAGCAATAAAATTCACACTAAGAGAAAAACATAAAAACTCACAATAAAGGAAAATAAAGAATGAACAATTTTACAAGATTAGAAGAGTTTTTAAAATCCAAGTTCCCACAAAGAAAAAAACTAAATTCAGTCTGCAAATGAATTTAAAAACTAGATTCAGTCTCAGTCCTGTCTGATGGAAAATGGAGGAGGGTTAGCAGCAGAAGTATTTATGTTTATTCCTCCAGTATAAATCCTGCTGATTAAAAGCACTTTTGTAGAAGTTAGAGGATCAACTTCAGCTTTTTACTACAGTAAAAGTGTAAAAGTAACATTTTTAAAACTAATTAAAGTATGAAGGTAAAGATAATGCAGGAAAAACTGTTAATACCAGAAGCTTTACTGCTCTAATCTATTAAAGGAACATTTTTCTACAATTCTAGATGTTAACTTCCTTAGACTTCATTTTCTTAGTTTTATAACTAATGCTAACAGAGTAACATTTAACTTTTCTTGATAAACTATTTATTTATGTATATGGTAAGCAACAAGTTGGGGCAGCACCGAGTCCAACCACAAAGAAATTAATTGTCTGGATGTAACTAATTATTTTGATGTTTTTTATTTATTTTAAATACCAACAGACCAGAATGAAAATGAGCTTAAATGAAACAAAACTGATGAGTCTATTTTTAAAATGTAAAGAGTAGAAAGTAAAAGTTGCTGAAATATAATTACTCCAGGAAAGTATAGATAGCCAACATTTCTACTGAAGTAATGAAGTAATGAAGTACTGTGTTAGTTGACAGTGTGGTCAGCCAGTGGGAATCCCTGCCCAGAAAGGCTTCTGGCTGCTCAGTAATCAGACTCTGATGACCAGGAGCAGCCATGATGCTCTGCAGCTCGATGGCTGCTCTATAAATGGGGTGGAAGATGTTTAATTAAGGACTAACTGTTAACTTCCTCATAAGTTAGTTTGCTGAAATTCTGACCAATGGCTTCCTGGTTAACAAAACATTTTACCATCAAGATTCTTTAAATTCACGTTTTGGACAAAGAAGACAGGTGGTTTGAGAAGACGTGAAGGAAGCCATCTATGTTAAAAAAAGAAAAAAACAACCTTAAACAGGGGGGGGGACAGAAGACCTCACCTGTTTAATCAGGCCAACTATTCCCTCTAACGACCCCCCTTTCAGAGACATAGACATGTATGGGGCATTGCAGGCTAACAAAGAAGCCAAACGACCCCCATTCCAAAGGGGGGGACCCGTATGGAAGAAAAACCGTCTCATTGGAATCTGCCTTTTTTTTTAAACATTGAATTTTTTTTAACATTGAATTCCTTAGACTGAATTTTTATCTGGTAAAAATGTCTCTGCAAAAATATTCAGCTGCAAATATTCGATTGCAAATGTGTTGACCTTCTGGTGAACTTAAGCCAGAGCAATCTACGCTCGATGCGTTCTAGCAGCTTCTAGCCAATGAAATGAGCTGATTTGGTCATGTGACGCAACAGGCGGGCGTAGATTTGTTCTCGGCTGAATGAAACTGCATGAGGAGTTTTTCTTGTTAAATAGAAATGATTACAAAACGTCAGGCAGCTACTAGTAGCCAGCCATTAGAGCTTTCCATCTAATCGGACTGGGTGAAATAACTGAGCCCACCAAAGCTAGCGCGGCACCCCCGCCTGCCAAAGCTATTGGTTTGATCCGGGAGAAGCGGCTGGCGGCAAACTGTTTTTATTTTTTATTTTCTGACCAAATGAGCTGATTTCATTGGCTAGAAGCTGCTCAACTGCATGGAGTGTAGATTGCTTTGGCTTGACTTCACCAAAAGGTCAACGCATTTTCAGATGAATTTTTTGAATTGAAACCAGATAAAAATTCAGTGTAAGGAATTCTTTCTAAACTAAAACCAGGCTTTGTTGGGCTGCTGGATAAAACCTGGAACTAAACGCTATTTCTGACATTTTAAATTGAAAAATCATCCTGGATGGAAGAGAAACGTCTTCAAACTTGGAAACAAAGTCCAGGGGATTGATTTTAACTTTTTTTTTTGAAAATTCTTTAAACTTCTTTACAGAAAATTTAAAGGAAATAAATTGAAAATCAAAATTCAGAATAAATAAATTCAAAAAGGGATTCTGTAAGGGCTGAATATTGTTTCCTAGTCATGCTAACGATTCCAAGTTCTTCACTAGAACGAGAATCCAGTGAGCAGCAGCTGTTCTTTTCATGAGCGGTCAGAAGCAAAGATGTTTCATCGTGTTTCTTTCCAGGATCTGTGGCCCAAATGACTTGGTACAGATCCACATCGAGCTGCGCAGTGACTGGATCGACGCTCACCCTGCCCTGCACCTTCACTCCTAAAAGGTCTTTCACTGAGGGAAACAGAGAGGTTCCTCTGAAGATCTTCAGAGTTGGCTGGTGTAAAGGACATGAGATCTGTCAGGGAATGAGGCCTTCTGTGTACGACAGCAGTTCGCCAAACAACGAGCCTCGGTACCGTTACCTTGGAGACCTGGAGGGAAACTGCACTCTGCAGATCAGCGATGCTGGGAAGCAGGATAACGAAACATTTCGCTTCAGGATGGAAGCTGATAATACGGCTGGACATTTTACCAACACCACTGGAGTGAAGATCACAGTTCTTGGTAAGATGAACACTTATTCAGACGCATCATCCGCGATGAAAACTGAGGAGAATTTTTCATTTAGATGCAGTAAAGATGAAGATAAGCAGCTCCAGTAACACCAGTGAGTTCAGCAGCGGCCAAACCGTCTCGCTGCGATGCTCCGCCTCCGAATGTACGTTCACCCACCTGGAGGTGACCTGGCTGAAGGATGGCCGGGTGCTCCCGGAGAATGGCTCCACCCTCCATCTCAGCGCTCTGACTGCAAAGGATTCTGGGAACTACACCTGTGGCCTGAAGATAAACATGAGGCCGACCCAGTCAGACCCGTTCCGCCTGCAGGTGGAGGTAGAGGACGGAGGTTGGTTCTGGTTTCATCATTTTCAGAAAGAAGTCAGAGATGACATCAGCAGCGTGGGCGTCAGCTGACTCAACACTGTACAGTAGGGCACAGTAGGGCACCAAAAGAAATATGAGCGCAAGCAAAAAAATGTTTTGGGCAATTATTTATTATAAAAAATCATGGGCACAGATAATTAATCCAAGCATGTGAGCAAATATTTAATAGCACTTATTTATTATTCTAAAACGTCATAAATAAATTGCACACATCAGATTACTATTTTCTGCATAATTAAATATCTACCTGAACCAAACTGAACTGAATTGGCCCACCTGTGAACTTAACTGTATATCTCTGATCCACTGCTGATGAAGAAACAATTTATCTTCATTAAATGTCAGCAAACAACTTGAAAACTGAAAACTTGAAATATCCAAAAAGAAAAACAAAAAAACCTCTACATGCATCCATGTTTGAGACCTGCATGTTCATTTTTTAACAGTAAACAGTAGCGTCTCTGCTTCATTTTTACGAAGCTGTCAATAAATTGTGACTGGCTTCATTTGGAGCGTCCTCCTCTCAACCGACATGATGGCGAGATGCTGAAGCCTGTCTTGCCCCATTGTGCTGCTTATAATTCAGGTAATCAGACTCAGCAATGCATTTTTTTCCCACCCGGTTGTCATTTAGGTTGTGCCATCAATGTTTTAATCTGTGTGTCTTTACTAAGAATACCGTGTTCCTTAATGATAAGATATGACAAACTCCTGGTTCTGTGTTACAGGCAACTCTCGCGCTGCTACATGCTCAGAGTGGCCGTTACTAGCAAGTGGATTCTGATTACTCCATCCGCATATGTCAGACTTACATTCCAACTAAAGTGGTGGTCTATAGGCCTATTTTTTTTATTTTTTTAACAGTGTCCTGTCTGGCAATGTGGCAATAACAATAATTGTCTTGATGCCAAAAAGAGCCCAACAGATTTTACTTTCACCAGTGGAGCAGTACGGCTATCGCCATAGTGTTCCTCTTGATTCATGCATATAAATAGCTTTATTATAATAATGCAGGGAGTTTAACAGATTATATGGACACTGTAATGTAAATAGAACAGGAAAGGAAAAGATTAAAGAAAGAGGAGATAAAAGGGAGATAATGATAAAACACCTTCAGTCTGCTTCATCACCTGCAGAGAGATGCAAAAAGAACAGAACAACCAACAGACATGGAAGGAGACATACGATAAAGTAACACCTAGATACTATCGCTGAAGTATAAGTAGGATTATTTAATCTGACATGTACTCTGTGTTACCTGAAGATATGAATATGCGCTTTCTGTGTGGAAGTGAATCTCTGAGTACCTGGAGCCAAGCACCTGTAATTGATTGTGAGGGTGAACTACTGCATGTAAAGTTTATCCATAGAGAAAATGCTTAAATAGTGGTTGTGGAGAGCCGAAGAGGCGCCCCCCCCCCAGAGCACTGAGTCCAGCGCCAGGAGACCCAAAGCCCCAGACGCCCAAAGGGACCCCAAGAGCGAAGGCACCTAGGAGGGGCCAGCCCAGGAAATCAGACCCCCACCAAGGGAGGAGGAGAGACAGCCACGAAGAAGCCCCCCAGCCACCGCCATGCCGGAGCTCCCGGGGAGCCGCACTTAGCGGAGACTTGAGATGTGCTTGGGAGAGGGGGCAGTTCAGACCCCAACCTGGGAGATGAAGAAAAAAAACAAAAAACTCACAGTCTCACTCAGGCCTTCCCACCCTAGCGCCCCCACTCACACCACAGAAGAAGAAAAAAAAAAAAACGCGGACGCCCATTCACACATAACACTCACATCCAATAATCCCAGGACCAAAGATCTGGCGCCACCGGTGGTCGGTCCCGGGATTATCGGATGACCCAATGATTGAACCCAAAATCTGGATGAGTGGGAGGGGAGCGGTGACACCACCACACCAACCCATCAAGCCCGGCCCCCCACCCCGCACCCAGACCAGACCACCCCCAGCGATAGCTCCCGTGGGATCGGGGTCCACATGCCCCGTGCAGGACACCCACCCAGAGCCCCCCCAACTAATTCAACCTGCCACTACCCGCCCCTCCATTTGCTGCACGCCCCTCCTTCCAACCTTCTTTGGGGAGAGCAGAAGTAACAGCCCCGCCACCAGCAGGCCACCCAGGCCCCGCAGCAGCCCCCCCGCCAAGACCCCTGACCATGCGGCTCACTCTTCCCCCAGGCCCCAGACTCCAGGTGGCAGCCAACGAACAGGGGTGTGAGAAGACCCCGATCCTCCCTCATCCTGCTCCAATGTGGTGTTGTTGCGTGTTGCTCTCAGGTGTAATTAAAACTGTAATTAAAATCAGTTCCCCAGGCATACCCAGGGACCGGATCCACAACGGGGCACGTGCCCCTGTGAAAAGGGTTTGCAGAGGGTCGCCCCCGTAACATCCGTATATATCAGCCAATCTCATCCTCCCCTCTCTCATGACAAGGCGCGCACGAGTCCTAACGTGAAAGAAAGGTTCATTGTGCGACCTGAGTCACGCGCAGTAACGGAGTGTCGGCATGGTAACTGCGTTATAGTTACAGTCAAAGTAATTAATTAGATTACTCGTTATTAAAAAAGGTCAAACGCCGTTACTCCCATCACTGAGTCAGACTCCTCCTCCAGCTCCTCCCAGGCCAGCAGAGACATAGTCCCTCCATGGCGTCCCTGGAACCATCAGAGGGAGGCGCCCATCTGATAAAGATGTCTGATCCTCCTCAGCTGACTCCTCTGGATGTGGAGGAGAAGCAGCTCTACTCTGAGCCTCCCCCTGATGACCCAGCTCCTCCCCCTCTCTCTAAGGGAGAGCCCAGCCTCCCTGCAGAGGAAGCTGGGATCCAGGATCTGGTTCTTTGGGTCCTGATCCAGATAAATGACTATAGGTGAGGGTAGGAAGGTAGACTGAACTTTAAATCAGAGCTTTGCCTTTTCTCACAGCAGACGGAGCAGCGCCTGCATTATAGCAGCCACACCGATCCGTCTGTCCATCTCCACCTTTATTCTCCCCTCACCGAGGAGCCCATGATACTGGGACTCCTCCACCGGAGGCAGGAACTCTCCTCCAAACTGAAGCGAGCTGATGTCCATCCTGGCTGCTATCAGCCTAATTGCATCTTCTAGGTCTTGGCAGGATGGAGGCAGCAGAACCACATCATCCGTAAAAACAGGGATGAAATCAACTGGTCCTAAAACCAGACCCCCTCTGTTCCTTGGCTGCTAGAATCCAGTCCATAAAGGTTGTGAACAGGACCGGTGACCGTGATATCTTGCAGACGCGCCATTGTTGTTTTTGAAGATAACTCTCTCCCGCCGGCGCTGCCGAAGTTCTCGTGACCATCCACCGAAGTTCTCGCGAGTTCTTGAATAGGCTCCCCCTAGTGCTTTGGTGGGAAACTGCTGTGCGGACCTTTGATGTGTGCGGATGCAGAAGTCTAATCTGCCCTTTAGTAATACGCATTAGTTTCCTGTCTCCGCTCTCCTTACAGCCAATCACGCTGCTTTATTTCCCGATTTAGTACGATTTTTGTCGTTCTGTGCATAAAACAACAAAAAGTCCTTCACTAGGTCCTCTACACACAGTAGCTTTGTCCATTTGACGAGGATCTTATTAAAGAACGATCAGCATTTTATCCACAGAGAATAAAATTTTTATTGGGAGCGGATTCTACAGCTTGACAGGGCATGAGATTTATTTGTGTTTAGTTTATTTAATATGAGCGACATGTGGATCATTTTATTTTCATTTATTTATTTTTACTGCAAACGAAGAACTAAACTAAATTATTTATATATATATTATATATATAAATAGATTAATTAATCCAGCAGGGAAAGGAATGACTTTAGTGTTAGGATTAGGATTAACTCGGTGGTAACAGCCTAGTGTCACAATCTGAAGCCATTCTATGGGACTGATGGCCTCTAATAACGATCTTATGCGTATAATTAAGGTTATTCTGAGCTGACGGAACGCCGGCAATGATGACTGAACTGCTGCTCTGCTCGTACAGAGATGACCCCTGAAGGGCCCCGGGCCCCCAGCTCCCACAGGGCACCAGGAGGGACACGGTCCAGTGTCTTCTCCAGGTCCACAAAACACATGGACCAGTTGGACAAACTCCCATGAACCCCAGAGGACCCTGAGAGTAGAACAGGTCCACGGATCCAGAACCAGAACCAGAACCAGAACCAGAACCTCACTACAGCTCCTCCTTAGCTGAGGTTAGACTCTCAGCCAGACTCTCCAGGATCCTGGTTTAGGCCTTCAGGGCGGCTGAGACCTGAACTACTGGATGTTCTCATTTTCTAACTTTGGTGTCCAGCAGCCTCATCAACACTTTTGTCCTAAAGTCTTTATATTGTCTGAGAAAGATTTAAATCCTTTGATTATAAATATTCAGAGTTATTTGAAGTTTCCTTCTCCGATCCTGAATGATAAACTGTCTGATGAGCGAGAAATGAAAGCAGGTTTTTAGAAGTGAAGCAGGAAGAATCCGGCAGTCGGTGGTGAAAACGTCTCTGTCTGTCTGTCCAGCTTCTGCCCTTCCTCTGGTTGCTGGTGTGGTGTTTGGAGTCCTGCTGCTCATGATCACCCTCATCCTCATCATCTTCATCATCAAAAGGTACCTCTGCATATTTGTCCATCCTAACATTTGATTTAAGTCAAATAAATGGAGTGAAAATAAACTTATTCTACTTTTTTAGCTTTTTTAATGGGATAATTGAAATGATGAGGAAATGTGATGAATGTTTTATTTATCTGAGCTGATATTGTTCCAATCAGTCTGGAAATAAAGGAGCTTTATCAGCCTGCTTCCTGTCCAATCAGAACCCTGCTTGTTGCCTTAAAGCTGAACCCTCGTCAGACGTTAGTTAGTAATGCAGCAGAGATCATGGATGAACCCTTCTTGGTTCCAGTTCATCCAGTAGAACCAGTCAGAAGCTGCTTCCTTTGCTCTGGTTCCTCATAAAGTCGCCTGCAGTGATGCCAGTCAGGAGGATTCACATTTAGTTTATCCTTTAAACACAGAAAACTAATCATCACTGAGGATTTCTGGTTAGATTCTTTCTGTCAGCCTTTTAAAAACCTTTGTTTGTTTCCAGGAAACGAACAGAACTGGAGGCTCCGAACACACTGAGAGGAGAAACAGAGACTAAGGTGATTCTACTGGCTTTTATTCAGGAGTAGCTGGAGATGAACGACAGCAGACAACCTGAACCAGGGGGGGAATTTACCATCAGGCAATACTAGGCAGCTGCTTAGGGCCCCAAGTTCCTGGGGGCCCCATAAAACTCTGCACATTAATTATGTTTTTGATAAAAATCCTTTGACTAAAATGCCATCAG